ACTAAGGGGTGGGAGTAGCAGTGGGCTTGTCCCTGTCTACCTGCCCATGGGCTCCTGAATAGCCTAGGAGATAGGAACCCCCAAAGGGCTTCTGAATGAAGTGAAGGCTGGAAGAGGTGGGCACTAGACTGGCATTAGACAGGGTGTCCTGGCTTTGGCTCTACCCTGTACCAGCAGGACAGGCTGAACTATGGTAACACACAAGTCCCAAATGTCAGCCACTTGACACAATGAAAGTTGATTTCTCTTTGTCACTTGTTTTGTTTACAGAGCAGAATGCCATGGAAGAATACCGTCTGACACTGAAAAAAAAAAAAAGAAAGTTGATTTCTCACTCATGGTCTTCATGGTCTGTAACTTGATAAACAGCATGGAAGGGAAAGGTGACTTCCACACGTCAGGTTTGCCCACAGGTAAGCCCATGATCACAGCTAAGAGTCCTTGACCACTTTTCATTGGTCACAGTCAGTCACATGGCTACAGACAAAAAAGTCCTGCCAGCTTTCAATTGGTCCCCATCAGTCACATGGACAGAGCCATCAGAGTAACCGGGCCTGTCTAGTGGGAGAGGGCAGAGGTGGAAATATTTCATGAACAACATTTCATGAGTATTTTACTAGCCAAGTGACCTCTGAGACCATTTCCTCTCCTGCAAAATGGGGATAATAGCAGCATTTCCCTCATGGATTGATGAGAATTAAATGAGAAAAGTCACATAACAGCCTGGGTTCAGCAGACCACAGGGAAGGAGAGGCATTAAGTGCTTGGTAGCAATGTGACCGGGACCCAGCCCATTTGTGAAGAACAAGACACCAGGACATCTCCTGTTCCCACAAACACAAGCCTGAAGGCAGCCCATGCATTACCCCTGCCTCATTCATGATGCCTGGAGTTGGAGGACAGGGTCTACAAGGAGGAGGAATGGGGGTTACTGGGACCCAAAAGGAGACCCACACTGTCCTAGGCTGAGCATCGGAGCACATGTGGCCTCCTTCAGACCTTGCACTGGCCCTAACTGGGATGAGTGGTAGAATTAGCTTCATGTTGAAGGCATGGAGTTATCTTCCATTGTGCCAACACAAATTGCTCAGAGTCGTCAAGCTAGGGGATGGCAGAGCTGGGACACTTTAGCTTCTGGCTGTCTTTTGCTGTGTGGTGCACACTTCACTTTGATCGGAGCCATGAATTCACCTACAGCACAACTCACATGTTTAGTTTTTGGAATCGATCATGCTATGTGAAAAGAGCTTTGTTCCAGTCCAGTTATGGGATTCAGAGCCTGTGTGTGTTAGTGTGTATGTGTGTGAGTGTGTGTATGTGTGTGTTAGTGCATGTGTGTATTTGTGTGTGTGAATTGATCATGCTACATGGAAACAGCTTTCTTCCAGTCCCATTATGGGATTCAGAGCCTGTGTGTGTGTGTGTGTGTGTGTATGCGGGTGTGGGTGTGTGTGTGAGAGTGTGTGTGTATGTGTGTGTGTGTGTGTATATAGGGATAATACTTTTCAATTCCTACCTTATACAACTTCAAACAAGTCTCTTTACCTCTCTGGGCCTCAGTTTCACCCCTGAACTCAACCTTGACTTCTTTCCAATGCCAGGATTCTGTAACATTGAGAATTGCCATACTATATCAGGAAGCATTTTGAAGTAGAAGACCCTGTGTTTGAGGTCAAATGGAGTATTATTCATTAGGTCCTCATTAGCATTGGGAACCAGAAATAGTTGGGCTTTTTTAGCATTGTTAGGGTGTTTGTAATCCACAGCAGTGTTCTCTCTTCCTTGCTATTTTTAACGAATTCTGGTTTCCTCTATGGGTAAGTCTGTCTCCCCCAGTAACAGAGGAAGTCAGGCTGAGATGGCAAGAGCTAAGATTTCTGAGTCTTGCACCCCAATAGATCTTCTCTGGGGTCCTGAGTCCCAGACAGGCTGGTCAAAACTCGGTGTTTTCACACATGCCCAGGCTAACCCTAAAGATAATGAAAAGGAGGATGATTCACCCTTTGATGACCGTTGGAGTCATTTCTAGGGCCTTGGAGGGGGTTTTATTTTACTCTGGAGGGTTGCTGAGGAGAACAGGACCAGATGGCTGCCCCAAGTTGCTGCTGGAGTATTTTAACTACAGTAATGTGGGAGCTTCCTGCCTAGGAGCGGGCCCCCCACAACTGCCTCAAGTTCCATCTGCCCAGACGCCCACAGCTCCTGTCAGGAGAAATGATGGCAACTCCAAGAAGCCTGGGGGTGGAGACAAGAGCCTCAGCCCAGACAAGGGCCCAATGAAGGGTGTGTTTGAGAGAGTCTGTCCGGCAAAGGAGAAAGGGTTTGGGGGTGGGGCGGTGTGTAGAGACACTCAGGCTTTGGAAAGGAGGGAAGAGCAGCTGGGAGGATGGAGGAGGGGTGGGAATAGAGCAGAGAGGAAGTGATGGCAGGTTAACACTGGACAGAGGATGAAACAAGGGCAGCTTCCTGATGGTCTCATCCAGCTCTTCCCACGCTGCTTGGATCCCCAGTGATCCCCCTCGCTCTGGGCAGTGGTACCCTGGAGTTAGGGTCTAGGCATCCCCGCTGCCCCTGGCAGTTGAGGAGAGAGATGCCAAAGAGTCTGGCCCAGCTGACCTGAGACCCTAACCTCTAGCAAGCCTGAGCCATCCGCCCCGGGGCCTCCCTGCTTCACATGGCCTGACAAATCGTGGCCTGGAGGGATGTAGAGGGGGCGGCCAGCACAGCTCTGGCGCCACTTTCCAGCAGTGAAGCTGTGAGTCAGGAAGGTTACTGCAGTCAGAGGGGATCTCCCTGGCCGGAAACCAGTGCTGGGCCCCAGCCGAAGCGCTTGGTCTGGGTGAAGGCAAGAGAGCAGCTTTGCATTCCCAACGGTGTACCTGGGACCAAGTCTGGGTCAGCCCAGTGCTCTTGTCCTGAGGCTATGGCAACTTGGGAGTGGGCTGGAGAGTTGGTTCAAATTCTGGGTCTGTTGCTTCTCCACCTGAAATACTGAAAAAGTCTCACCACGCCGGCTGGGAAATGGGAGACAGAAGGAAAGATGTATAGAACACGCCCTGTCAGAGGTACCTGAACTGATATGGCCTGCTGCCACATTTTCAGGAAGAATATAAAAATCAGGGCCAGATTGATAGTACAGTGGGTAGGGCAAGCTTACCTTGCACACAGCCACCCCATATGGTCCTCTGAGCCCTGCCAGGAATGATTCCTTAGCAAAGAGCCAGGAGAAAGCCCTGAACACAGCCAGGTGTGCACCACCCCATACTCCCACCAAATGTTCTTTTTTTTTCTTTTGGGGTCACACCCAGCAATGCACAGGGGTTACTCCTGGCTCTACACTCAGGAATTACTCCTGGCAGTGCTCGGGGGACCATATGGGATGTTGGTAATCGAACCTGGGTCAGCTGTGTGCGAGGCAAATGCTCTGCCCGTTGTTATCACTCCAGCCCCCAAATCTTCTTCTTTAACATATAGATAGACCTTTTAGGTTTGAGTTACCAGTGGTATGTGCTGGAGTCAGCAAATAGGAAACACCCCTCAATGGCACCCAAGGCCACTGCTGCCCCCTTCCCATAGAAAAACTGGTGTATAAGTTTAGAAAATGTGTCTCCCCCACGATGGGGAGAGAATGTTCAGGGTCTGACCCAGCTCAGCCATCCTCCTCCTCTGGGGGCTTGCGGGGGGGAGGGGGCTCCTAGAGCAGAGAGAGTCCCCAGAAGCTCAAGTGCTGGACACCAGACCGCCTCCCCTTGCCCCTTCTCTCAAGCCATTGTTGGGCCTGGGCACTCCTGTTTCTATGGTGGGGGGCAGGGGAGGGAGGATGGCTATTTGTCCTTGAAATTTGCCTTTGCAGTGACAGGGTCTGGGTCACTGAGTGGACCAGTTTATGGGGGAGGCTGTGGAGGAGAATGACACCGACAGATGCACCCTCAGACTCCACCGCCCAAATCTGACGCGGTTTCATCATCTGCGGGTGATGCAAGAGACTGGGAGTCAGACACCCCTTCCTCCCTCCCGGGGGAGACTCCGCCACATCTGGAGCTGCAGCTGGGCCCTCCTCTTGGGCTCATTCCAGAGCTGGCTGAAATGAGGGAGGGGACAGCAGCTGGTGAGGGGGCCTGTAAATGGCCCCAATGTTGGGGCTTGGGGGCAGGGAGAAGGTGCCTGGGAAGGAAAGGGGGTGGACTGGAGAGGGACCCCCCTCCAGTCCTCCATCACTGGACTGTTTCAGGGTCCCAGAAGTCCCCTTGTTCTTTATATAAAGGCAGCTGGCTTCTCAGCCCCCTCACCCACCCAGCCCGACCCCAACCTCCACCCAGGTGCAGGATTGAGTGCCCCCTTTGTTACTGCTTCTCCCACAGGCTCCCGCTGCCCACTCCGACCCTCCGCTCCCACACCCACCACAGGCAGCGGTTGAATGAGTCCCAATGAGGTCATCTGTGGGTCATAAAGGTTAGTGCAGTGCAGAGGTCTAGCAAAAGGGAAGTGCCCCTGGGCACCAGGACGATCTCTAAAGTACCATAGACTGGAGGCCGGGCAAAGGCTAGCAAATTCACTGGAACACATGCCGAGGGGGGAATCTTTCCCGGTGCTTTCTATAAACCGCTAAGGTCCGTGGGACGCTTCCAAGGGAGCGGTCCTCTGGGAGACTTAGGTTCTTACCCACGCTTAGCCTCTAACCACCTGGTGACCCTGGGTAGTTTCCCGCTTTGCGTCCCAGTTTGAAACAAGGGTCCCCATCGAGGCGGAAGTTCTGCCCGTCCTCTCTCTCACTCCAAGACAAGACAACCTAGGTTGTACCCGCTCCCGGTCGCCCTCCCCTCCCCCACCCCCCCAGCCCGCTGCTGGACACGAGCCAAGCGGGCCCTTTAAAGGCTCAAGCCCCGCCCCTGCCTCTGGCCGGGGCCTTGGATTGGCGGCGGCGGCACGGGGCGGAGTCCGGAGTGGCTGGCGGCGCGCGGGGGCGGGGCCCGGCCCGGCCCGGCCCCCGCCCCCTTTGTTCGCGCGGCGGCGGCCGGGCGGGAGGTGTGTGCGCGCGTGCGGCGCGGTGCGGAGCGCGGGGCGCCGCGGGCTGTCAGGAGCCCGATGGCGCGGGGAGGCGCGCGGGCCGGGCCCCGGGGGGCCGCCCCCGGCCGCGGCTGAGCCCCCACTGCAGCGGCCCGCGAGCATGTCACCTCTGGTCGCCCGCGTAGCCTCCGCCAGCCGTGAGCGCGTACCCACGTCCCGCGGCCGCGCTGGCTGCCTACGACAGTGGCCCCCGGACCTCCGCCCCTGATTGGCGCAGGGACGTAGCGCCAGAGGACCATGGCCGGCCAGGGGGACTGCTGCGTGAAGGTGGCCGTCAGGTAGGGACCAGCAGCGGGGGGCCACACCGTCGCGGGCTTTGTCTCTCGTGGGCGCCCCGCGCCCCAGCCCGCGCTCCCCGCCGAACGCGGCCGCGTTGGCCCCGCGGCTGCAGGGGGAGCGGCCACCGGCGGGGGCGGGGGCGGGGGGAGCTGCTGGACGGTGGCTTTGTCGGGGTGGGCATTGGGGCCCCTCCTGGTAGCCCTTAATGATCAGAAAATCGAATAAACAAGGAAATCCGGTATTTCACACCCAGCTCTGGTCCGGGCCGGGAGCTCTATTTCCTCTTGGCGTCCCCCCCCCCAGGGGGTTGCTGTCTCTTACGGGACACGGGGGGGGGGGGGGCCTTGTCCCCTCGTCCACCCGCCCGGCTTGCTCGGAGCAGGGGTCCCGCCTGGCCGGCAGCCCTGCCTGGAGCCGGTTCTGAAGACAAAGATCGGGGCTGTCAGAGCAGGCGGGCATTGAGAGCGAGCCCTCTGCCCTGCCCCAGGAGGGAAGGGAAGGGGCGAGGAAGAGGTGGGTGTCCCCAGGTTGTGCCCGGAGGCCAGGAGGCGCTGACCAGCCCTAGGTCAGAACTAGGGGGAGGCCTGCTGGCTTCCCTGGGATTTGAAGGGATCAGCTGACAATCGGGAAGGGAGGGGAGGAGGCTGGGGGCTCTCTGAGGAGGGGGCATGGAGGTGCCGGGAAGCAAGTACTGCCCAGAGGAGCCGTCCTTTGTGTGGGCACAGATGCCTTCTACACACTCCTCGCCCCACTTTTGATTTGGGGTTTTTTTCCTTGCGAGGGAGGCTGCTGGCAGGAGCGGGGATGAGCTTTCATCTCGGGGTGTGTCAGAGAGGCTGTGTCTGTCCCAGAGCCCCTGGGTCAGAGGTTACCCAGATCCCGGGATGTCCGTCCGGTAGGCAAGATCAGAAAGGATCGTGGAAAATCTCCCGCTTGCTGCCGGGTTTGACCCGACCAGCCTGCAGAGCTTGGGGTGGAGTGAAGGGCTGGGGATGGGGGCCCCCTGCCAGTCAGGAGAGACAAAGGCCCGCAGGTGCCTAGGGGGCTGGCCAGGCGGGGCCAGCGCTGCGGGCATGTGACCTTGTTGCAGAAACCCGTCGGGTACTGGGGGGACTGGGTGGAGAGAGAACATGTGTAAACGCAGCTGCAGAGGGGGAAATGGACCCCCTTGAGCCAGGCCGGAAGGAAGGGGTTTGGGGTGCCCCTCCCATAGGGGTTTCCTCTAGATCCTACCTGACAGGAGGAAGCTAAAGTGCCCCCAGCCCATCAGGGTCCTGAGGATGGACTGGGGGGTGGTTAGATGGGGCAACCCTTGGACTGGTCCTTGTCTAGAGGAGCCCTCTGTCCCCCCGCCCCTGCAGGATCCTCGCTACGGAGAAGCTGCGCCTGCCCACTGGACCTAGTTCTGTGGGGTGTCATCACTGCAGCCCTCTCAGATTGCCCTTGCTAGTGCCCACCCCCACTTGGGGTCTGGTTGGAGGAATGGGGAGTTTTGAGCATCTAGAGTGCCAGCCAGGCTTTCAAGGGACCCTGGAAGGTGCTCCCCCCTCCTACTCCTCCCCTCCTATCCCAGCATGAGCGCCCAGCCCGGCACACACCAGGCGTCAGCAGGCAGCCTCTGTGGAAGGTAGACAATGCCTGGACAGAGCCCAGCTCCTAATCAGAGAGCTGAGGGTGGGGGGACAGGGAGCAGACAGTGCCCCTGAGGGGATGGAGAGAAATTCCCCTAGCGTGGGTTGGTGGGCTGGGGTGAGTGGAGCTTCTGTGGAAGGGCAGCGTATTGAGGCTCGCCAGGTTGTGCTGTCTGTGAACTTTCTGCAGATCTCTCCTGACCAAGTGCCCCCCGGCAACCTCAGGACAACTTTTGTGCCTGGGTGGTCAGGGTTGGCCAGGACATACTGGTGCATGTGAATGTGCAAGTGTGAATCTGTGCGCATTTGTGTGTGCATGTGTATGTATGTGTGTGTGTGCGCACACACACACACATACACCTGGGGATGCCTACAGCTGCTGCTAGATTAGGCCAACGTGAGAAGTGCCAGGCCAAGGGCCCTGTGGTGCCTGATGAGGCCAGAGGAAATGACTCCAGGACTTGGGGCTGAGAGACCTCTAGGAGACACCCAGGTCTCCCTTTGCACCCGGAGATTCCCATGCCTGCCTCTCCAGCCAGATGGCTTTATCGAGGAATCCTCTTAGATGCTGAGCACTCTGGGTTCAGGGGCCTGTGGGCAAGGCTGGGGTTGACCTGCCAGTCAGCCTGCTGGCCTGCTGCTGGTGCTGGAGAAGGGGAAGGGGGGCGGGGGGCTATTAAGAAACGTGAGTTGGCAAAGTGGAAATTGGGGAAGGAAGCCAAGTCACATGGTCTGTTTCTTTAAGCCCCTTTCAAGCCCCCAGCTCCAGTGCCCCTGCTGCAGGGGAGCGGCTGTGGTCTGAGTCTGCCCCACCCCACTTATCTCTGCCTGCCTTCCTTCCTTTCCTCTTGCACCACTCCTGGGGGGAGCCAGGAACACTGCACACCCCTGGCACCCCTATTTGGGTTTTCTGGCTACTTCTGAGCTCTTGCTACATGCCTGAATATCTGTCTGAATGAGAGTCGGAACCCAAGAGGACAGTGAGGTGTGGGGAGGGGGAGTTGCCCTTGGAACCCTGCCCAGGGCCCATCCATGCCAGCCACTGCCCACAGGGTTCCTGGTGGTTAACTTCTGGCAGGTCAGGGGCCCCAGAACCTAGCCAGGACCTCATTGGAGATCCCATAGGGCTTGGCTGTGCCTCCATGCAGAGTTGGGTTTATGTCATCAGGAGGAAGTGAGCTGGTAAGTAACCACAGGTCCGGAAGGGGGGGTGACAGGGGGTGTGGGGTGCACCCTTCTGCTGGCTGATTGGGTCTCAGCTTTTGAAAACCTCAGCACGGAAGTGTAGTGGAGCAGGACGGAGCAGGACAGGGAAGTGACGAGGTGACACAGACCCCCCTCATTTTCTCAGCTCTGGGGGCTGAGGGCAGGGCTGGGGCAGAGCCCTGGGGAGCCTTTTCTAGTTATCCTTCCTGGCCTCAGTTTTCCCAACAGCAGAATGGGAGCTGTGGCTGTTTCATGAAAATGGGGCAGGAGGCAGCAACAGGCAAAGGGCACAGGAGCAGTAGTTGTCTGAGTGGATAGCGCAGGGAGAGGCTTACCTTGCCCCTGGCCGACCCAGTACCAGGTTCTGGGTTAGATTCCTGAGCACAGAGCCAGGAGTGAGCCCTGAGCACTGCCGGGTATGGGCCCAAAACAATAAAATGAAATAAGGGAAAATAAAATTATAAAAAGGACCCAAAGGGTTCAACCCTGATGGCTCAAAGGGCTGAATTGCAAGGACCCCTTCGTGGGGGGAATCATTTATACCTTGTGATCCTAGCACAGCAGGTAGGGCGTTTGCTTTGCGCATGGCCAGCCCGGCTGAGCCGGGTTCGATTTCTCCGCTCCTCTCGGAGAGCCCGGCAGCTACCGAGAGTATCTCGCCCACACGGCAAAGCCTGGCAGGCTACCCGTGACGTATTCGATATGCCAAACACAGTAACAAGTCTCACAAGTCTCACAATGGAGAGATGTTACTGGGCCCGCTCGAGCAAATTGATGAACAATGGGGGGGGGGGGGGGGGGAACAGTGACAGTGACAGTGATCCCCTGAGCACAATTGGTTGAGAAAAGCTCCCTTTGAAAAGACAGAAACCCACCCCAAAAAAGCTATTTAAGAGGAAAAGTGAGTTTATCTCCAACCTTTTTCTATGCAGTCATTTGTGTGTGTGTGTGTGGGAGGGGGGGAGTGTGAGTGTGTGAATGTGTGTTACCCTATAATAATGCATGTACTTGTGTGTGTCATCATTGGGCCAGGCCTAGTGCCAACTCTTCCTCTGAACCCCAGTGACCCCATTGTGTGGTAATCGTGCTGAGAGGGAATTGGATTTGGCCCCAGGAGACGGAACCTGACCTACCCTAACTGCCCCCCAGACTGGGGGTGTCCTGCCACCTTGGTGTCTTGGGGGCTGGTGCCCTGATTGAGGGAAGTGCTGAGGGAGGCCTGTGGTGCCCATAGACGGAGTGGGGGAGGGCTTTCCCTTTAGGGGGCGCCAGAACCTCACCTAAGGTCTCTGAGGTTCTGGGGTGACCCACTTATTCCCCCTCCCCAAAAGGCAGAACCCTACTATTGGGATCGTCTCCCAACCTCCCTTTTTTTTTTTATTTTTTCCTGGGTTGTGGGTCACACCCGGTGGTTCTCAGGGCTGTGAGGTGCTGGGGATTGAACTCAGGCCAGGCACGTGTGAGGCAGGCGCCCTCCCTGCTGCACCATTGAGGCAGCCTGGCCCAGGGTCCTGGTTGCTGCTGTTGGCCTCACCCCAAGACCTTGCCCTCCATATCTGAGGGGGCTGAGAAGTCAACGTGGCAGGGGGGGGCTATTGGCAAAATATCCAGGTTTTGGATTCTTCACCTTGGGGATTGGGGGGGCTGGGATTAGGGGACTGTGAGGCCATGAGCTCCCCAAGTCCCTGCCCTCTGTGCCCTCCTTAGGAACCTGCCATCAGAGCACTGGGCGTGGGGGACAACTGGAGGAGACCATGGTGGTGGTGGGGAGGGGGGGTTCTGTTCCCAGAGGCCCCCCCAGGAGGACTCCACCATGGAGAGGACTCTCCCCAGGACACCGCATCGGGTCCCCCATCCCAGCCTCCCCCCTCAGGCTGGACTGCCTGTTGCTCACATTCCTCTGCAAGGCAGGATCCCCTGAGCACTGCCCCCTACCCCCCTGCAGAGGCAGATGCTCCAGCCAGGCTCCGGATCTCCTGGGAGGTCGTGGGAACCCCCTGCCAGATGACAGTGGAGGTGGGGGGCTCCGGGAGAGGCTGGAGCCCAGCTGAGACCAGGCGCTGCCTCCCCCCTCCCCCATACCCCAGGAGTCAGATGGCCCAGCCGGGACCAGGCTCTCTCAGGGGGCTTCCCTGCTCCTCACTGCCTTTACTTCCCATTCT